AAATAGTTAAAAAAGAAAATTAATTCTGCCTTTTCCTGGTTTTCATTAGCTAACACGCCCATCACGGATTTCAGTGTACCTGCACTTTAATGTTTTAGTTTTTTCTAGAATTCATGTACTTTAAAAATGCCTTGGGGTTGGTTTTGCTCTCTTTGACTATCACTTTACATTCTGTAGTTTAGCGAATCTAATCACCTTTATGCATGCATTATTAGCTTCCTTATATCTTCTATCGGGTGCCTAGGATTTGCCCTATTTAAATGCTTTAAATGCCCTATTCTTATTTTTAATTTCTTGATTTATTCTCCCACTAACCCACACTGGTTTTAATTTGTTTCTTTTAAATTTATTACCCAATGATACATTCTGAGAAAAATACCTTTCTAATATTTGTTTGAAGATATTCCCTTTATCTTCAGTGTTTTTTCCTTTAAAGAGTTCATGCCAGTTAATAGACATGTGCACCAGTGAAATTTTCATTTTGTACAAATGATTTCGTAATAAAAATTTCATTAGTCAATCCTGAATTTCGTCAGCAAACCATTCATTTTCAAACAAATTTTTTTTCGTAAAAAAAAATAAAAAGCAAGGAGGAATCCGGCAGCGTTATCAGCTCCCTCCCTTAAATAAATAACTATTCCTACCCCCCCTCCCGCATTAAAACCTATGGGGGTCACTATAACCCCCACATTAATAAAAGGGAGATTAAATCCTCCCGCATGACCCGACTTGTGGCATGCCGCGAGTAGGGGCATGTTGCCTAAACAAATTTAAAACTACTAGTGACTGGGTAACTATTGCTGCCCAGTCACGTGTGCAATAAGGAGGGACTTGGCACAGGTTCAATCCCGGCACGTGCCCCTACCTGTGCCAGGTCCCCCCATGTAGTAGGGGCGTGTTACCTAAACAGCGAGCAGCCAGTGGCTGCTCACTGCCATTTCAAACTGGATATAAAAATCAGTATTTTATATAGAAATGATAGAGAGGTACGATATGAGTACGTGTAACCAAAAGTTATAGAAAAAACTAAAACAATGTTGCAATATGAAAAAGTAGCTATTTAGATCTAAATAGCTACTTTTTACACGTACTCTTACCATAGCTCTAACACTTTTATATAAGATACATTTATATCCAGTTTTATGACAGAGAGCAGGCAGTGGCTGTTCGCTGTCATAAAACTAAATATAAATCAGTATGTGGGTCACTAAGACCCCCCATATTGATAAAAGGGAGTTTAAATCCTCCTGCATGCCCAGCGGGGGTGGAGACCCTAATTAATTAAAGGGGGGACCTAATGTATCCCCTGGTCCCCACCCATGAGCAGCAGGTGGGGACCCTAAATAAATAAATAATGTGGGGGACCTAATGTCCACCCCATGTCCCCACCCATGAGCGGCAGGGTGGGACCCTAATTAATTGAAGGGGGGACCTAATGCCCCCTTTGGTCCCACCCATGAGCGGTTTCATAGAAACTTAGGTTTATTTTGAAAAGTACAGTTTAAAAAAGTTGACCAACTGACACTGGATGTCCTCAAGCTCATAAGGCTTCAAATTAAACAAAAGAGCGGATTTATTTTAATCAGACGTGCATTTGCATATAACCAATGTTACAGTCCAACTACCTTGACAAATTAGGAAAAGTTTGTTAATGGGCATGAAATGGTGAATGTATGCTGTTGCACAGCTGTTAAAAAACAAATTACATTATATTGTTGATTTTGAAGTCCTATTAGTGTGTTCTGCACTTTGGCTGAGATTATCAAACTTGATGATCTCAGCAAATCCAATGCTTGAAAGAATTGGGAGGCTATTGTGCATGTGTGGCAAAAAGCTGGGCAGCCTATCAGCATCTCCATGGGGAGCATGTAGCGCCTCCATGCAGACCCAATCTAATACACTGCCCCCTATTCTACTACATTGTCGACAAATCCAATACATTATGCCCAAATCCAATCTAATACACTGCCCTCTCCACCCAATCTAATACACTGCCCCTTAATTAAATACATTGCCCCTCCTCCCTTGACTATATCTGAATACACTGCCCCCATTCCCACCACTCTAATTTTATACACTGCCCTCCCGCCCCCCAATTTAATACACTGCCCCTCCCTCCCCTAATTTAATACACTGTCCTTCCCCCAATTTAACACACTGCCCCATCTCCCAATTTAACAAACTGCTACCACTCCCACCACTCTAATTTAATACACTGCACACCTCCCTCCCCTAATTTAATACACTGCCCTCCCCCAATTTAACACACTGCCCCCGCCCACCACTCTGATACACTGCCCCTCCATCACCACTCTAATACACTGCCCCCTCAATCACCAATTTAATACACTGCCCTCCTCCTTATTTAACACACTGCCCCCTCCCACCACTCTAATACACAGCCCCCCCTCCTCCGCCAATTTAATACACTGGCCTCCTCCCTCCCTCAAATTAATACACTGCCCCCTCCCTCCTTAAAATTAATACACTGTTCCCACTCCCCAATTTAATACATGTTGCAAATCCTGAAGTCAATCAGTCCAGATATGTTTTTGGATGAGCTGGTCTGCATCTGGGTTTTGTCACCAGCTGGTTTAGGCCTTTAGGTCCCACGATTGGACAAGCTACCTCATTCTTCCCAATGACATGATTCCAGAACACCTTCCCTTCCAAAAAGGGCAGGACTGTAGTAGAGGGTCACAAGTGAGAGGTTGTCTTTTTACAACATCTCTTCCCACTCTTGCACTGCCGGCAGGCTTTATCTTTTTCTACAAGTAAAGGAATGGATGTTGCTCGCATTGGACACATGGGTCCTGCAGATGGTCCAGAGTTATCTGATCGAATTCTGTTCAGAACTGATGCAAGTCATCCAGATGTAGAAATTTAGGATCCCTTTTCCATGGGAGTTGTCCAATTCTTTATAAACAATGGCAGATTATGCCTTCATAGTCTACAGACATTTCAAGATGGAGGGCATCTATCTCCTGCTGGACGTGTCCCAGAAGGATGTTCTTCTGCCTACACCTTATGGATGCATACCTTTTGGTTCTGGCAAGAGAGCATGTGACAGTTTGCCTGTCTTTCCATCGGCTTGAGCCATGCTCCCTGGTGTTTCACCAAGCAGCTGCAGTTGATAATTGTACAGCTACGAGCAAAGGGTATTCATTATCCGATTCTAGTTGGACAATTTCCTGATATTTTGCTTCACCCTCATAGTCTCACAAGCAATATACTGTTCACTGCTGGAATCTTTGGGTTTTGTTTTGAATCTTTAAAATGTGGCACTGTCTCTCTTACAGGTTTTCATTTTTTAGGTTTTTAAATAGATGTAATGAATTGCGTCCTTTGACTACGCCAAACCAAAGCAGGGCAATCAACAAGGAACTCTGGAAGTCCCTGCACCTGGACTTTATTCTCTTTCATCGGCTGGCACAATTTGTGGGTCTCCTGTCATCCTCTATCTAGGCAATTTACCTAGGTCCTTTCCACCATCGTGTGATGGAGTTACTAAAGGCCATCTTCCTTTGATGCCCTTTCTATGACCAAGTGATTCTACTTACTTAAAGGAACACTATCGGGTCTGCACCACAAACATGTATTCCTGACCATATTGTATTAAAACCACCATCTAGCCCACCTGCCCCGACCCCTAGCCCTCCTAAAAATAGCAAAGTCTTACTTTTGTTCAAGTGTGCAGCTGCTGGCTCTGCCACTGATCTGCCTGCTTTGCTGACGTTATCAGAAGTGGTTCTCTGAGCCTATCGTAATGCTTTCCCATAGGATTGGCTGAGAGTGTTAAGGAGGCAGATCAGGGGCAGAGCCAGCACAAGTCAAACAAAGCCCTGGCCAATCAGCTTCTGCACATGGAGATGCATTGAACCAGTGCAACTCTATGAGGAAAGTACAGTGTCTCCATGCAGAAGGAGGACACACTGAATGGCAGTGCAGCACACGGTGCATCACTGCCCCAGGAAGCACCTCTAGTAGCCATCTGAGGAGTGGCCAGTGGAGTTATCACTGGGCTGTAATGTAAACACTGCATTTTATCTGAGAAGACAATGTTTACTGCAAAAAGCCTGAATAGATGTAGTATACCCACCAGAACAAATATAATAAGTTGTAGTTGTTCTGGTGACTATACTGTCCCTTTAAGATGTCAAAGTGTAACTTTGCTAGTGGATACTTCTCATGAACGATTAAATTCTTTTGCATCTATGAAAATTCTCTCTTAAATGGCACTGCAGTATCACAAAATAGTGACAGTCTAGCGAGTAAACTGTCACAATATCTCTGCGGCACTGTACATCAATTGATAGAACAACAATAGATGCCTGGAAAAGATGTAATACTTAAGTAAAATCACACATTAAAAACATATTTATACATGCATCAGCAAGTAAGTATAAGTAAGCCTTGTGCCGTGCATATTACACTATTGGATGTTCCTGTTTATGTCTCCACATACTGCACTTTACTAAGAATAAACCATCACCACTGCTGAACATACATCCTTAGACAGGGATTATACCATCCACGCCTACAACAGCAGATCTCTAAATAGCTCTCAAAAGTTTAAGTGTGCTTTTGTTACAAAACACTACCCCATTTCTCTTTAAAAACATATTGCACTTATATTGTCTGCTCTCTCTATTTTGTCTTTTTGAGAGATTTATCAACCAACAAGACCCTGTTTTATATATGTATGTATAAACTGTTTTATGTGTGTGATTCCACCTAAAGATTTATATGTTATAGGCACGGGTTATCTTTTTTTCTGTTTTTGTTGGAGGGGGTTACGTTATACAAGTTTGTCCATTTTTCGAACCTTACCTATTATGTTTGTATATTTTTAATTACAAAAACTCTCCCCCCACTCCCTTCTCACATATAATGCCTGTAAGTAATGCTTGATTCACTATGTTGTATTTATGCTGTTTCAATCTCTGACTACTCACAAGTGGAGTGAGACAAAAATAAAGAATTTAGAACCATTCCTCCAAGGCATTAGAGACAATGACCTCATCCGAGGAATCCAGGTTAAGAGTCATAACTATAAAATTACAGCGTTTGCGGATGATCTCCTTTTTACTATAGCAGAGCCCCTCAAGACCATCCCCATAATTATCTCTGAAATGGAATATTACGGTAAACTCTCTTTTTTTCAGGCCAATCTCGCAAAATGCGACTTGATGCCAATTTTCTCAACAGACCTGTTGAATGACCAGATCAAATCCAAATTCTCCTTTAACTGGTCATCCAGATCAATTAAGTACCTTGGTATTCACCTCCCCGCTCACCTACCATCTACCTATAAGATCAACTTCCCTCCTCTAATTGACTCAATCACAAAAGACCTACATAGATGGCACAAACCAGGCTTTGGGTTAATGTCCCGGGTAAACATACTCAAAATGAACGTTCTACCCCGTATCCTCTACCTCCTTCAGACAATTCCACTCAAACTCGCAGCTAAACTCTTCCTCTCTCTTAAGTCACTATTTTTGAAATTTATTTGGGCCCACAAACCCTCACGCCTAGCATACCATACATTAACTAAAAAACAGGATCAAGGGGGTCTAAACCTTCCGGACATAGAAGCTTATTATAAAGCGACACATTTGCAGAGAATCTATGAATGGACGAAAACACCCAATACACTCCAATGGGTTGCACTAGAAAACCGTTGTGTAGACACTCCACTCTGCGCTTATCCCTGGCTCCGCAAGGACCCCAAACTAATGGAAAAACTAAACAATCACCCAACGATTTCCTCTACATTACACATATGGTTCAGACTAAGGACGCAAACAAAAATTTCGCCCTTCCCTTCTCCTATTTTTCCCCTAACCCTGAATCCCCACTTCCACAAAGGAACAACAGGGAAACAACTTGGACTTATATACGATGGCCCCTTCCTGAGGTTGAGCGACGCAACATCAGGAAATAAACTAAAACCCTTACATGAACTCACCCTCTCTAACACCTACACGGGGGTCCAAATCTTTTTCCACGACCAACTGAACCACTTCATCAAAACCCAGTCACTACTACCAGAAGGCAATAGACCTCTCACTAGATTTGAACTGTTATGCACCTCCCACTCTCCAAAGGTAAAAATGCTTTCCACTCTACAATCAGTAATTAGAGAGGCATACCCACAAAACCTCCCAAACTTCACCCTAAAATGGGCGGAGGAACTACAAACCAACATCACTACCCAACAATGGAAGAACGCCTTCATTTCCGTCCATAAATCCTCTATCTCAGCGTACGCACAAGAATGTAACTACAAAAAAGTAACCCGCTGGCACAACACACCCGCTAAACTCCACAAATTCTTTAATTCAGTTCCAGATCTCTGCTGGAGGTGTCAGAATTCAAATGCACACCACACCCACATTTGGTGGCAATGTCCAATAATTCATAAATTTTGGAAGAGGATCCACACTATCGTACAACTAATATTCCATAAGACTTTCCCATGTACACTGGAATATTATCTCTTTTTCTTATCACCCCATACACTCACGACGCTAGAGACGGCCCTGTTTCGCCACTTGGTCATGGCGGCTTCCCAACTAATTCCTAAATTTTGGAAGCAATCCAGGCCACCTTCAATTCGTGAATGGATACTGAGAGTTGATGATATTAAATTGATGGAAGAAATCACCTCAGCTAAAATGGGAAAACAAGTTAAATTCTTGTCCATATGGGACCCATGGACTCACCACATGCACTGCAACCCTCCCCCACCACAGTAGACTGACCTAACACATACCTTTACTCTCATCGAAAACACAAGCCTTATTCCTAAAACTTCTGCCTCCCCCACCACCATACCACCGCAGCTTTCTCTTCAGCCCTTTCGCCCGCGGTCGAGGCTGGGGGGAGTTGAAAGTAATTGATTGACAAGACACGTACAACCGCTACTCAATCCTGCTTCCCAGAGGGGACGGCAAGGTACCATCCCCTACTTCCATACACCCGCCTTTCCTTTCATATACTCAATAGTTCTCCGCCGAGCCTAGGTTTTCCGACCCACAGAGGGGAATCATCCCTTTAGATACACGTGAAGCGTTCCAGTATAAACCAGGTCTACAGGTATTGCATTAATGTAAGGTTTCCTTTCAATTATTTGTTGCTACAATACCTTTGCTTGTTATGTTATTCTTTCAGTTGCCTCATCTGCCACTATTTTCCTTCTTGTGGTGATGACCCTACTACAAAATGTACCTTCAACTATGTGATATTTTAGTACTGTTTAAAGTAGTGAAATACCGAAATTGTAACCTTAAGATAATCTCGCTGTACCAAAACTTATGTTTACGTATGTTAAACACACAAAATAATAAAAAGATTAAAAAAAAAAAAATTAAGAATTAAAAAAAAAATAGAAAAAAATTTATATATATATACATATATATATATATATTGCATGCCCACAGAACCCAAACTCAAATAGCCATTAATGAAGGAAAGAAGCATGGTATAGAATAGAAGTAGATGCCCTTTGAATACAAGATCTCAGTAGCCTTATTTGGAATACTGAAAATAGTAAAGCGCAGACCTCCTATATAGAAAATAACAAAATACTACATCAATTTATTACGACATGGGTCGGGTTTAAAAAGACTATTGGGATACATAATGCGGTACTGGAATGTTTAAGTCTATTAGTTATTGAATTTAATATAGAAAATCTATCTTTAGCTACTTGGAATAATTTGGGAATACAGGGAGTGCAGAATTATTAGGCAAATGAGTATTTTGACCACATCATCCTCTTTATGCATGTTGTCTTACTCCAAGCTGTATAGGCTCGAAAGCCTACTACCAATTAAGCATATTAGGTGATGTGCATCTCTGTAATGAGAAGGGGTGTGGTCTAATGACATCAACACCCTATATCAGGTGTGCATAATTATTAGGCAACTTCCTTTCCTTTGGCAAAATGGGTCAAAAGAAGGACTTGACAGGCTCAGAAAAGTCAAAAATAGTGAGATATCTTGCAGAGGGATGCAGCACTCTTAAAATTGCAAAGCTTCTGAAGCGTGATCATCGAACAATCAAGCGTTTCATTCAAAATAGTCAACAGGGTCGCAAGAAGCGTGTGGAAAAACCAAGGCGCAAAATAACTGCCCATGAACTGAGAAAAGTCAAGCGTGCAGCTGCCACGATGCCACTTGCCACCAGTTTGGCCATATTTCAGAGCTGCAACATCACTGGAGTGCCCAAAAGCACAAGGTGTGCAATACTCAGAGACATGGCCAAGGTAAGAAAGGCTGAAAGACGACCACCACTGAACAAGACACACAAGCTGAAACGTCAAGACTGGGCCAAGAAATATCTCAAGACTGATTTTTCTAAGGTTTTATGGACTGATGAAATGAGAGTGAGTCTTGATGGGCCAGATGGATGGGCCCGTGGCTGGATTGGTAAAGGGCAGAGAGCTCCAGTCCGACTCAGACGCCAGCAAGGTGGAGGTGGAGTACTGGTTTGGGCTGGTATCATCAAAGATGAGCTTGTGGGGCCTTTTCGGGTTGAGGATGGAGTCAAGCTCAACTCCCAGTCCTACTGCCAGTTCATGGAAGACACCTTCTTCAAGCAGTGGTACAGGAAGAAGTCTGCATCCTTCAAGAAAAACATGATTTTCATGCAGGACAATGCTCCATCACACGCGTCCAAGTACTCCACAGCGTGGCTGGCAAGAAAGGGTATAAAAGAAGAAAATCTAATGACATGGCCTCCTTGTTCACCTGATCTGAACCCCATTGAGAACCTGTGGTCCATCATCAAATGTGACATTTACAAGGAGGGAAAACAGTACACCTCTCTGAACAGTGTCTGGGAGGCTGTGGTTGCTGCTGCACGCAATGTTGATGGTAAACAGATCAAAACACTGACAGAATCCATGTATGGCAGGCTTTTGAGTGTCCTTGCAAAGAAAGGTGGCTATATTGGTCACTGATTTGTTTTTGTTTTGTTTTTGAATGTCAGAAATGTATATTTGTGAATGTTGAGATGTTATATTGGTTTCACTGGTAATAATAAATAATTGAAATGGGTATATATTTGTTTTTTGTTAAGTTGCCTAATAATTATGCACAGTAATAGTCACCTGCACACACAGATATCCCCCTAACATAGCTATAACTAAAAACAAACTAAAAACTACTTCCAAAAATATTCAGCTTTGATTTTAATGAGTTTTTTGGGTTCATTGAGAACATGGTTGTTGTTCAATAATAAAATTAATCCTCAAAAATACAACTTGCCTAATAATTCTGCACTCCCTGTACATCGAATACATCAGATTTTATATCAAGGTAAACTGATGTCTTTTGCAAATTTAGCTCAATCATTTCATTTGCCTAATTCTGAAATTTTTACTGATCTTAGAGTTAAACATTTCTTCCAAAATCATCTAATTACAATTAGTCCTAATATAACTAAGCTATTAAAAAAGTTTTTTTTGTATTAAAATAGTTCCAAAGATTTTAACTAAAGCTTTTGAATTAATTCACGTTACTAATTTCATGGAGAGTTCCTCCCAGAAGAGACAATGGGAGGGAGATCTTAAATGTAATCTCGATCATGATGTATAGTGCCGGTTAAAGTGGCAAGGATTTATCAGAGTTCTATTCTTTGTGTTGGAGATGTTTTCAAAAAGAGGGTACGTTTTTACATATTTGGTGGGGTTGTTCGAAAATCAAAAAAGCTTTAGAAACACTTTTTTCAATTTATAAACAATAAAACTAATATAAATTTGGAGCAGCTTCCTGACGTTGCTTTACTACATATGCATTAGCCCAAAATGTCCTGGAAGAATCTGTATTTCATAATGCATTATTTTGTTGCCTTCAAAGTCGTTTTAGCTCGAAGTTGAAAGAATGATAATGATTTAATGTGGGACTCTATTAAAACTCAATAACTCTTTCAACTTGGAAAGTAAAGAGACTTGAGTTTACCTTACCTTAAATCCACAAATAAACGGGATATGTGGGATTCTTGGCTTACCTTGATTGATGCCTCAAATACCTTAAACTAAGACCTGGTATAGACCTATGCTCTGTCGAATTCTAAATTAAGAAAAAGAATAAGATAGACCTTAGTCTCCACGCACGACACCAGAGATTTGATTTGTTGTGTCCAATATGTTTATATTTTGTTTTTCCAATCTTTTTATATGTTGTTTATATGTGTCTCAATATGGTATGAGAGAAATAATGTAGAATTATATACTTCCGAGACTGAATGTTAGTCTATCTCTATGTAAATATATATATATATATATGTGTGTGTGATATGGAGCCTCAAGGTTATGCTAGCTGTGGTAAAATTCAAGATTATGCTAGC